TATACTCGGGCCAGTACACAACCACCCATCAACACCCTAGCAACCTCTCAGAACACCTTAGAGACTATAAAGAAACATACTGGCAATGAGTCAAAACACATCAGAAATTACATAGCAACACCCTGGCAATAAATCAGAACCCTCAGAAATTACATAGCAACACCCTGACAACCACCCATAACAGCCTAGCATCACTGCAGCGAGTCTTGCATGCAAACAGTTTCCTCATCTAGTTCTACTTTCAAAGTTAAGCCACAGTTACACTAGACTTTGACCATGCAAAATTCGTATGGACACCATTAGTCACAAAATACACAATTCAAAGGATAATAAATAGATAAAAAAATTTAAAAATCTACTGCAATCCCTCAGATTTAAAGTTCAAAATAAAAATAAAATGTAAAATTTAATAGAATAAAATTCTTCTAATTCAGATTAAAGGTCACGCTGTGGCACGTATCAATCTTCTATTGGTCACGTGAAACGAATTCGCAGGTCAGAGTTCACTGAACTTGAACTGTGGAACGCAGTGATGCGTTTCCTGTCTCCTGCATTCGCATGCGTATGAATGGAAGTCAATGGAACGAAATGTGGTGTGTCCGGCCCTTTACTGAAATACACATTTAATGGCACAAATACAAGCACACAGAGAAGAAAAACATTCCCTTTGGTGCAGATAACACGTTCTGTGTTTATTTGGACACAGTGTGAGTGTGTGTTAAGTGGTTTCGTATCCCACAGTGCATCTGTCTTTGTTCTGTTGCCCTGCTGCAGTGATGCTTACAACAGAATCTGCACAACAAACCTAACACCTGATTTTTAAGCTTTCACGGGGTCTATAGAAATGTCCTAAGACTAATCACACAATATCTTCATACATCTATATCTTCATGTCTCAATTGTTGCTCTTCAACGGCAATATCTAATGAAGAGCGATTAAAAAGTACTGATCAATCTCAGATCTCAAAAAAGTCTCAAACTCTGCTCAGATTTACTAAGATATGTTTGACATTTCATTATGAACTCAAACATTGCACTTCAAGATCAAATGAGCTGATCTATTCAATTAAAAATAATTTTATGATTTTTTTTCATATTGTTTTAGGAATATTATGAGAAAGATTACTATAAAATTGATACTAAAACTGAAATTAAACATAAACCCACTGATTCATAGATATTAAAGAGGAACCTCTGAGCTTCAAAATTTGTATCTAGAAAAGTCTGCAACCAAATCTCAATATGAACTCAAAAATTTCTCATCAAATTCTGCTATCCACATGGATTTTATACCTCTTTATATATTTTCAGTATATCAACAATTGTCTCATTTATGACCATTTCGATAATGAATTTTATGAGAAGTTGGAATTTCAACAAAAAGTAACTAAGAACTTCCCTAAAATAAATCAGAAATGTTCACTTTCAGTTGTTTGTCAACAGTTGTCTAACTTACATTACTATATAAGAACTGAACTCAATATCCTGAGCTGAACAAGAAAACAATCTGACCTACAATTCACATTAATTTAACTGTGCACTACTGTTCAAAAGTTTGGGGTCAGCAAGATTTTAATTTTTTTTTTTTTTGAAAGAAGTCATTAATGCTCACCAAGGCTGCATTTATTAGTTAAAAATACAGTAAAAATGTAATTTTGTGAAAAAAAAAACTGTTTTCTACTTGAATACATGTTAAAATGTTTATTCCCGTGATCAAAGCTGTATTTTCAGCATCATTGATCCAGTCTTCAGTGTCACATGATCATTCAGAAATCATGATGCTCAAGAAACATTTATTATTATTATTATCAATGTTGAAAACAGTTCTGCTTCATTCATTTTTTCAGGATTCTTTGATGAGCAGAAAGTTTAAAAGGACAGCATTTATTTGAAACACAAAATATTTTGCAACATTATAAACGTCTTTACTGTCACTTTGTATCAATTCAATGCATCCAAGCTGAATAAAAATATTAAAAACTTACTGACCACAAACATTTAAACAATATAGTGTATCTCAATATTTGACTCATTTTTATATGTAACAAAATGAATGCTTAAAGGGTACATATCAAGCTTTTAAATCATTCATTTTTACTTATAAATCATACATTTGTGACCTATATAAAACATAACTGCAATGCTTGGGTCTGAATTCCTCATTATTATAGCTCCACAGGCCCCTTTCTGATGTGCGTCTGTGAGCGACCCGTTTCAAAGCGGCCCCTTTAAATAAAAAGGAGTTGTGTCTTTGCCCGCCCGCTTTCCAGGTCGCAGAGTTCACGGTCGGTTCAACTCCCCCCGTTTGGCCATTATTGTAGTTTGATAAGAGATATATGATTATAGCTTCAAAGAACATTTTTATTCACACGTTAACAAAATGTCAACAACAGAAGACTTGTCCATCAAGCCTTACATATTCGAGCCAGAGCGAGCGAGTTGAAAAAGACGACGACGAACCTGCAGAACAACGTCTTCATACGGACGCAGTGGTATGTAAGTTAACTATGTTGTGTTATTAGTGAAAGTCGACTATTTCTCTTGTTAAAACAAGCACACTGACAAGATAAATGACTGCGGTCTGATCTTACCACTAAAATCTGTATTGATAATAATATGATAACTTATGTTTAGAAAGCATCAGAAAACACAGCAGCTAAATGATAGAACTAATTTACCCCTCATTCAGACGAAGTCGATCGGCAAACCCTTCTGTACTGGCGGAGGTTGTTGAAGTGGGGATCCTTGAAGTGCTTCAGGTCACTACATCCAACAACCGAACATTTTGACTAGCCCTCTCGTAACTTCTGCATCATTGAGCTCGGACTACAAAATCGGAGCGAGAAATAATAATGGCGGATTGCTCGAAGTGTTGGACCGGTAGTCAATGTCCTTACTTGTCAGTTCCGCTGCAAATACTGTGACGTAATTGTTCAAAAAACGTCATAGAGAACAGAAAAATCTGAACAGGTTGAAAGACATAAACGAAGCACCTGAAGAGAATAATTTCATCTTTTGTGTACTTAAAAACACTCCAAATATACAACAAAATGCATTTAAGGGCTAAAAAAGAGGATTTTGCATGATATGTCCCCTTTAAACAAAACACAACTAAGAACTGCTCACTTCCACAGCACTCTTATTTCAGAACAAATCACTGATTCACACACTCATTTAAAGGGTCAACAATGTCGGACTTGTTATAGACTAGATTTGTGCTTCCTCCTCTCCTCTCCTCTCCTCTGCTCTGGCTGGCCGGTTCTCTCTGAAGTGTTAGATGAAGGCATTTGTCTGGAGGGTGGGTGAGGTACAGCCCTGCACATGTGTGTGTGTGTGTGTATATGAGTCAGTCACTGAGATCTCTTCTCAGGCATCCTGACAGGTACAGACGCTCCGTCCGGCTTTAAAGGGAATTCCAAACGAGCCTCTGACAGGAGGCCTATTCCGTCTGTGTGTGTGTGTGTGTGTGTGTGTGCGGTTTGCACACTATGTGAGGGAGGGGGGACCTGCAGGGCAACACAAATACTGACAGCGAGATCAACCAATCAAATGAGACCCCCCCAGATCCACCCAGCCAACCCAAGAGCACGATGCTACGCAAAGTCCCGCCTCCAGTGCTGATTTATGCAAATGAGAATACTGATTAATCCTCCTATGCATGCTGGGTAACTGCAGCATAAATTGGCTGTCTGTCACCACAAACTCAGAAGAAATGCACACACACACACAATCTCTCCATGACACGCCATCAAGGCCTGTCCGATCAACAAGAAACGATGGAGGAAGCAGTAATTGGAGAACAGCGCTGTGTGTGTGTGTGTGTGTGTGTGAGAGAGACTAACCGTGGCAGCGAGGATGTAACCCGGGCCGCGAGTGTGTGTCTGGCGCAGCTCTTCAAAGCTCAGGCTTGTTGTTGAACGGCATTAGCTGCCTCTCAGAGCGCTTTTAACACGGAGCGAGGGATGACAGGCCTGCCACAGGAGGAGGGAGAGAAAAACGAGTAAACATGCGTATGCAGCAAAACAACAGTTACCTGAACAGCGAGATCTGAGCCAGCGCACACACACACACACACAAGAGCAGGAGAGGAACATGTTGCTTACTGCCAGGTGTCTGTGTGTGTGTGCGAGTTGTTTGGTGGCAGATTTAAAACACAGACATTTTGAGCATTTCTGTTCCAGTGTGTGTGTGTTTTATCTGCATTTTCGATCACTAATCACACATAGAAACAACATCCTTTGAACAGGCCTAATCAAAGATCATACATGCAGTCACAGTGCAAAAGCATAATATAATCATATAGAAACAAATATGACAAATGTTACATATTTTTGCTCCTATATTTTACACTACCGTTTAAAAGTTTGGGGTCAGTATGTTTATATAAATATATATATATATAATTTTTTTATGTAGGCCACTTAAAATGTCACAAATGAGCAGTTGTTTTTGTTTAGTATTTTTGTCTGTAAAATATCTAAACAAAAATATAGAACTATTCAATGTTATTGAAAAAAAGAATCAAATTGTGCAATGGTTTCAGATCTTATATTGTGCACTTGGATGTTATAGATAACCCAAAACGTGGTTGTGGTTCGGCTCTGGTCAGATTTCATGAGGTGTATCGCTCTCAAAGCTACAACCAACTAAACTAAAATCAACTTTAAAAAAAGGATCCGATTTTTCGCTGCCTGTCTGAACAGGGGCCTCCAATGAAACTTTCAAAGATTTGCTGTCGTGAACCCCGCAAACTTTGGCAAATCCAGCAAGTAGGTCTTCCTCAGAAGGCTCGTTTTAGCAACCTGGAAACTCGCAAACACTTTCCCAGGCGGACTGATTTAAACATGCACACCCTGACTTGTGCAAATCAGCCAATCAGATTAAAGCTTGTGATTGTCATTTTTGCATGCAATATAGATCAGACGGTACATAGGCATCTCCTTACCATGTGACAGAGCAGGTGAATCAGGTGTATGCTGTCACTGTCCTCTCTTTCAGTTCTGTAGAGACATTCACACACACACATACAGTAGAGAGAGAGAAACACACACACCTCTGAGGCCGCTGGCAAAGAGCTCGGGTTGGATTAACAGCGGGATTTGTTCCCTGTAGCTGAAGTCAAACAGAGGAAACTCTCCTACATTACGCTTTTAATTAAAATCATCATCTTACATGGCTCAGAGACCAATCGACTAATACACTAATCACCCACACACAGACAAAAAGCATTAAGTAATATCACACCACATATTTAAACATTAATATTAAGGTTCCAAAGGTTCCAAAAGGGACGTTTTGCCATAAAAGAACCATTTTTTTGTTCCTCAAAGAACCTTTCGGTGAATAGTTCTTAAAAGAACCACATTTTGTCCACTATATGCAGCCTTTTGTGGAATGGGAAGATTCTTAAATGGAGATATTTCTTGAGCAGCAAATATAAGAATGATTTATGAAGGATCATGATTAATGTAATTGCCATCAAAGGAAAAACAATACATTTTAAAATATAAATCAATAATATTTCACAACATTACTGTCTCAAATAAATGCATTTGTGAGCATTACATTTAAAGAACCGTTTTTCACTATAAAGAACATTTATGGAATGCAAAGGTTCCATGGAAGTTAAAGATTCTACATGAAACCATTGATGCCCATACTGGTTGTAAGAGTGCATGGCTAGAGATGTAGTTTTTATTTGTTCACCAAGAAAGTTCAAAAAGTTAATATCTGCACTCTTGGAAATCCGTTCGTCCAATCAAATGAACAGAACAGAGCAGATCGGCAACAAAATCTCTCTCAATTATGCCACTAGAGCCTACCGACTCTTCCCTAACAGTTTTTTTTTTTTTTTTTGCCATAACAGGTGAAATACAACATGTGGCCATTGTCTCTGGCGTCTGACCCGTTGTGTGGGTTTGTTCGGTTCCTGTGGCTTTCATTCGGGAGTGCGCCTGCCATTCCAAACTCTCCTCTGGAACAACGCATTCCGTTTGAAGTGCTGATCCCTGCTTCACCTGTGAGATCAATACACTCCCGTTCAAAGCCAGATCGGCTTCATACAGCACCAGATCTTTATTAATTTATAGAAACTTCTTGAAACTTTCTCTAAAGGGAAGCTGAAAAAAAAACAGAGAAGGAAGAGAAAGCGAGAGAAGAGAGAGAAAAAAAGAAGAAACCAGCACGGAGTAGGTGATTAACTCACAGAGATGCCTTTGACGGACAGCGAGATCACATGATCGGCCGAGTGGAGCTTTAAATGAGACCGCATGGAAATCAGCAGCTGAAATGCATTTGAACCAGAAGCAATTTTGGTTCAGAAAATTTGATCTAGGTCAAAAATGTATTACATTATCTTAAATTATATTTAATTCTTAGGGACAATATTTGCGTCCTACATTCTTAAAAAAAACAAAAAACAAAAACAAAAGGTTCTTTACTGGCATTAATGATTCCATTTAGAATCTTTAACACTCACGGAATCTTTCCATTCCACACAAGGTTCTTTATAAAAAAGGGTTCTTCAAAAAATTTTTCTTTTAAGAACAGTTCACTGAAATGTTCTCTGGGGAACCAAAAAATGGTTCTTCACTATGGAATCGCAGCAAAAAAAACCCCAAAAAACCTTTGAAAGAGTGCATGATTTTTCAGGCAACTTTAAATTTTACATTTAAATGGCAATTAGCAAATTTAGAGTTTTTATTGTTGCCATGTTAACATGGCAGTAATTGTTTTACACAGGCAAATGGTGAAATTTGAGCATTTCTAGATAATAATCTGAGTTTCTGCCATTCTAATGGGAATCAGTCGATGTTTTTTTTCCACCAGCCGGTGTTAAATTCCCAGCTGAATCATCTGTTTGGTAGGTAATTCACCAGGGAACAGTAATTGAATTTTAGCCTGAATCCCCATCTCTGTGTTAACATGGAGGAATTGGCCCAAAAATCTTTTTTTGACCACTACTAAACGCCATAGGGCTGCTATCTGACATTTTTGCAGGTAATGAGCATTTGGGAATTTAAATGATGGCTTACGTCCCTAAATGATCATTCCTGTATGGAGTCACTCCTGAAAGCATTGGTTAACCATGATAACCAAGAAACAGGGATGACATGCTATTGTCAACCTAACAAACAAGCACATCTGAATAGTGCTTACAAGAGCCTATTTTAATATAATAATATAGAAAATATTATGAAGTATAATACTAAATGGTAGAAAATGTTATATTTTGCACTACAATTCAAAAGTTGTTTTTTTAACCCTAAAACCATATTCTGGACAAATGTGGGCAAAATAGTTTGGATTTATTTTTAAAAATACTTCCCTTGATCTGAGCGGTACAAGACTTGGCTACTTTTCCTAAGTTTGCCTCCTGAACACACACTTTTTTTTTTTTACTCAATTCTACAATGTTAAGTGGGTGAAAAAAAAAACTCCTTAATCTTGTATTTGGGTCAAAAATGAGCACCCATAGAAATGAATGGGTAAAACTGTAATTTAGAGCACTCTAAAATAAGCCAAAATAAGACACCAGGTGACAGCAAAGTCACTTCATCTTTAGGTTTTAGCTCTAAGAACTTATTGGAATGATATTTTAATGTAGTTAAAAAAAAAATAATACAAAAAATAAAACTACAATAAAAAAAATAAAACTACATAGTAATTCATTTACATAGAAATAATTTACATTGAAAATATGGTACTTTTTGAAGTAAATAAATTAAAAAATACCCCCAAAATAAAAAAAACACCATAAATGGATAGACAAAACTTTATCGAAGACAGTGATATAACATTTATAATAAATACAAATTAGGATCACACCTGAGTTCTCTGTGCCCACATTTGTGAAAAGAAACCAAACATCATGAAAGTCAATGATGTTTGGTTCAATTCTACAAAATATCTTGTTTTGCGTCATGCATGAAGAAAGAAAGTCAAACAGATTTTGTGTGTGTGTGTGTGTGTGTGTGTGTGCGTGTGTGTGTGTCTCAAATTTTTGACCTTAATTTTAAGAGCTGTGATTTTACAGCCCAAATTGGAAGCGTTTCAAGGCTTCTGTGAATGTTTGAGTGCGTGTTTGAGAGAGAAAAGTAACTGTGAAAGAGAGAGAGAGAGAGAAAGAGAGAAACCAATGTGCGCAGCGCTGGAGATCTTCATTTCTTTGTTGTCAGATTTGATGATTTTAGAGAAATTACCATCCCTGCATTCAAAGGAAATCTACCTCACACTTCCATGGCCTGCGGCACGGAGGGAAATAGAAGGTTTATATTTATTTTTAATTATATCAGTTTATCAGGAGGCGTAACATCAGAGCCACATCTGATTTTATCTCTTCTCTTTCACACCTGAGGGAATATTAATACAAACAGCCATTCCGGCTCTGATCGTTGCCTCACACACTCTCTAACACACACACACCGGCACTTTTATGATATCATTTCATCATCCGTCGTTCTCGCAAATAAAAACAAACCACAAGATCTGTGTTTATATTCCAAGCTTATAAAACACACCGATCTATCTAAACAGCACACAGTGCGAACACGTGTGTGTGTGTTCACAGGAAAGATAAACCACACATGAGATCTCTTTAATGTCTCACTTGTTGCTCCTCGACAGCAATGAGATTTTATGTAGGGCAAATTAAGACTTGAAATTGAAATGTCCTGCTTCTCAGGTGTCTGAAATACAGTAAGCTATCCAGCTATAAAACATAAAATGGAAAATCTTGTGCCATTTAACTTGATGAGAAATGTTTGAGCTCATATTGAGGTTTGATATCAGGGTGAGACATTAGCTACGTTTACATAGACACATTTAGTTTAAATCGGAAATGATATCAATTAGATTGGCGAATCAGATCAGTGTTTACAATGAACATATCAATGATTCATATCAGATTTAATCTAAAGACATGCGCTCACATGCACAAATAATTACCTCCTACCGATTCTTCTTTACTTTGTTTTAAAAAGCAGACTTAACATTTATCTACTTTGGGTCCTGATCGGCTCAAAGCTTTGAGCCGTGCTGCGAAAAAACAAACAAAGATAACGTCTTTATTCAACTTACGGGGTTGGTACGGCATGGGGGTGAGTAATTAATGACTTAATTTTCATTTTTGGGTGAACTAACCCTTTAATCGGTTCACAGCCGAGGAGATCGATGTTCTCGTCAGGCCCGTAAAAGAAAGAGAAGTGACATTGGGGAAACCCACAAACCCACCCAAATTAGCTTCGGTTAAACATGCATATAATAATTTGGGCAAATGTGTAAGCTGTGCCTATTTTTCCCATCGTTGTGGAGTTTTAATATTTTTTTCCTTATAATAATGTATCATTTGCAAAAAGTAAAATGCATCTGTGTAGATGAGAGAATCATCTTCAGTGTATGCACGTTGTTCACACTCTGTATTATGGCCAAGCATGCTCGCTTAAAATACATCTGAATGTACGAGCAACCCGCCACTGACTTTAGACCAGGTTTTCTGGTCATTGGCGCAATGGGCTCTGTGCACGGCGATATTTCCGGTAAAGGTGTAAGGATGCTCGATAACTTCCGCCGATCGTAAGAGTCCAATGCAATACCGAGACTTTATATTGAATTTTAAACACCATGGTTATACTAAAGAAACGTTAGTCACAAAAACAGATAAAACAGACACCCCTCGTTGTGTTTATGCTTCTTTTTTAAAATTCTATTAAATAAACAACTATATATAAAATTATCTACGTACGTTTCGTTTCAAAGACGGGAGGACAGTAAATTTTGAAGACTCTGCCATAATCCCGTTTTCCTCGGTTTTCCTCCGCTTAAATCTCCACAACAGGAAATGGACGAGCATCCTTGCGTCAAATGCGGAATTTATGCGTGCATAGCCCACTGTTTTCTGCAAAATAGCACCAGGGATTGTTTGTGCCGAAACACACCTCATTTTTGCGCTGAACCACCCAGGGAGCGCAAGTTCATTCCCTAGTTTACCGGCGTAAGTCTG